ACTGACCTTTGAATCTGTAAATATTTTGTTTAATATTATATATTGGATTGAATAAAGTACATTAAGTTGACTATTATTATTACTGTTTAGTATATAGACCAACATCTCAGCAAATTCACTTAGTTGCAACTTCATTTACTTTTACATGTAATTTAATGTGGTAAGCCGAATTGTACACTTAGATCTCTCACAGTAGATAAGCCGATTGTACCGTTTTACGCGTCATCGCATGATGTATATTTTTACATAAATAGTGTACTTTTAGATTGTTAGAGGTAGTTGATAGAAAACTCTGATCCTAGGTTTCATGTTTTGTAACACTCATTAACAATGTGTACCTGATAGATCGATGACGTGCCATGTAGCTTCACAGTCTGAAATGTTACTAATGAGTTAATCGGTTGGTGACTGACCTCCTGTTAGACTGAAATACTTTTAATCACTTGGTCACTTCCCAATAATTAATTGACTGTGTAATGCACTATGTGCATAACCTCCTCCTCTTTCAGTAGATACTGCCATGCCACTATGTGATATTGTGCTGTGTGCTACTGATGTCGACAGATATAAGTAGTATATATCATCAACCGAAAGTTAAATACATGGCGGCAGATGGTTAAGAAGATCGAAGAAAAGAGAACAAGTACAGAATGATTGGTGTGGAATCGGAGGAACAATCAAGTCTAAGACGATTGATCGACATTTTGCAAATGAAGTATTTACCGTATAGTTCTCAGATTTTGCTAAGATGTTCCATAATTTTGTAGTCAAATGAATCCGATTGTCCCCACTTATGTTCTCGTTCACTACATTTGTTATCGCTGCCAACCAGGAGATGTGGAAGGGTGCTGTTCAGCGGACGCCGTTGTGGACCAGGAGCTGAGGTGCCAGTTAGGGCGGTCTGGTGCATAGAGGTTCTATTTTTTTATTTATTTAAACACATAAACATTGGTACAAGGAGTTGCCAAACAAATATGCACCACACAAATCATTCGATTTGTGTGAGGGCTGGGATACTACCCGGATGCTGTTGAAGTGCTGGTGCTTGGCGGACATCGGATGTAGATGGCTCAGAAAGTTGCTGGAGCGCAGGTGTTGAACGTCCCATGTGCTGAGTGTACGTCGAATTTCGATTGTCCGGCAGGTCGACGTATCTATGCAGGTCAACGCGCCACAGACTCGAGATTTTGATGGGGAGCGTGACATAGACTGCAGAAAAGAATAAAGTAACACGGCGAGCAGAACCACCGCAAGAACGACTGCTTTGAAGGGAGACGAGTGTGTTGTGTGCTACTGATGTCGATAGATATAAGTAGTATGTATCATCGTTAGGTTCGTCAATATTCTTCAGTAAGTAGAGTTACTTTGTCTGTTTGTTGGGCCGGTCATTTCGTGCTAGAGTTTGTAACTACTGGTTATGACCAAAATTCACTATTTCAAAATCATATATTTCAAAACTCAACTATTATAAAATTTGACATTATGTATTTTAATGTATATTTAAACCTTATATTGTTTTTAGTTCATCCTTGGCTAAGAAAATATGAGAACCGTTGAGAAAATTGATCACCTCTTCTCTTTAACAACTAAAACTTATTGTATTACTGGTTTTGCTATTTGGATATGGTTTATTTTTTAACCATACAAATGTATTGATTCTTCTTTTTATATTTTCCAATATCAATTCATTTGTTGGCGTGTTTATTTGTTTTCCTCCACTGTTTGTTAGTTTATTTCAAGTTTTGTTCTATTTTAAATGAACTCTATTTGTGTATGTATTTTTTTATGGACTTTTGTGAATTTTCATTCATCTTGGTTTCTATTAATGCTTATTCATTTATTGTATTTAAGTATTTCTGTATAAGAAATTAATTAGCTATAAATATTTTTCGGAACTATTACTATGTTGTTTCACGAATATATTGAGCTTTGTGATGATATTAATTTATTACTAAACGATATTTGTAGTGATTGTCGAATCGTTTAGTTTACATCATTGGCTGACCTTAGAGAATGATTATAAACCAGGAATCATGGAATATCTGTTTCATATTAGTATGAGACTTTTCAGCAATGCACATTCATGATCATATTAAGGATCAAATCAAAAAATTCAGATCTCATGACGAGTGATTAACTGTTAGACTATTGAGGCGGGATCCAGTGGTTTAAATTTCCAAGTCCCGTCAATTCGTAATATTGCATAGCCATCTGACTTAACTGAACTTCACTAACTATGTTTTGTCATTAGATCTCTTATAATTACTTTTCAGAAGTGGTCACTACATGGTTAATAATTCCATTGTTTATCTGTCAGATTTTTTCTCTACTAACAATGTAATTGACATGTTTTTATCATAAACTTATTCGTATCGTTTCTTGTACATAAAATTGAATTTCTGATAATATTGAACTATTTAGCTGTGTTTTAATTTCTAGCTGGTCACATTCTCTAGTAGTATTAGAATAAATTGTTTTTAACCAGCACTTTTGAAACTTGACATTATCTGTCTATTAAATTAATTGTTGTCATAAAAGAGTATGTCATTTATTTTATTCACATTATTTTATTTTACTTAAATTGTTTATGAGTAATTTGTTTCTACAAATATGTAATATTATTCATTATTCATGTGATTAGGCCGTTATGTATTCTTGTGAGATTGAATCAATAAATATACGTCCAGTTTGATATGAATAAACTAACATACCTTAGGTAGAATTCTTTTCATAGCGAACAGAAAAAAAAACAACAACCTCTTATGTGGAATGTTTACTTTTTCAGATTCATGTGATGATTTATTTTATGTTGATTTACATTAGTATGCATTTTCATAGAAGTTACTTTTTATTTCTGTTTTCAATGCACTTTCAATTACGATTTTATAAAATAATTTTTTGAATGATTGAATTTCTTCAACTTGGTTCACTAATTTTTCTCACTAATAGAGCATTCAGTTCAAAGTTTAGGGGTCTGGTATTCGTAGACTTTATAATTTTTTTAAAATAACTTATGAATACAAAGTACAAAAACTTTAAATTCAAGCTTTGAGTATCATAAATTGTATGTAAATTTTATGAAAAACTTATAAAAAAAACGCCCAAGCCCCCAAATGCCCTGTTATGGTCGAGAGTGAAGTGGGCCCGCCCGCCCTCATTCTCGAAATCTCTCACACGGCCATGCGTATACAGCCTCTGCCAGGGAAGTCCTGCTCACTGCCTTCTCGTGGCAGAGGTGTTGTTTACGGAAACGAGAGGACGAAAAGCGAATGTCCGGCGCTTTAACCGGATCCAAACCAAACCAATGGTGCACATGGGCTCCAGTATCCTGCGGGAACGAATGGCGTATGAACCAATCGTTGGTCACCGGTTACCATGGGAATGCATCTCCTTACGATGCTCCACTTCCTCGTGGGTTAGACCTTTAGGTCAAAGGCTCGGGGAGTTGCCCCCTAAGAAAACCACCTACTTCGGTCTGTCACCCAGGCAGTATCACAGCCCTCACACATATCAAATGAGATCTGTGTGGCGCATAAGTATTTGGTGCTTCCTTGTACCAATATTTATGTCTTCAAATAACGAAAAAGGAGACGGAAAAGCCTAAACAGAAAACTGAGTCTTTTTATTAGATTCGATGTTAAATAGCGAAATTGTGAAAGAAACCCAACATAGCGCATTCTATATTATTATTGTAGATCTGTTAAAGTATAATAATCTAGCGAAACAGTATAATTATTAAATCACTGTTTCAACTTTAGTGTATATGTTGTAACTATCCTAACTTTATTCAGTGGCACATCCAATAAAACTAATATAGAAGATATCTAGAGTGGTCTAATGGGGAATTTAATGACTTTTCTATGGGCTTGTTTGATGGGATGACATACTCTTTTTTTCAGCCAGTCATGATTTTCCAACACGTTACAGCTCAGGGTGACACGATATTGATCGATAAGTAATGCGTACTGATACCCTATAAATTTACTGGTAGATTCTCAAGAAACCAGATTACTATGCAAGCCTTTAGTAACCTGAATTTGAGAGACATCACAGTATATCATGAGTACAGGGTTTTTCTAACAAAATTTATGCAGAATATTGAACCTAAAAGTGTACATGATTAATAGTCATTTAAAACAGGGATTTGTAGAAAACATGTTTTTAAAATCATTTAGACGTCATTGATATTACTACCTAACTGTTATTGATAATTCCTACTTGTCATATAACCATTGGATGCCGGCTCAGTGGTCTAATGGTTAAGTGCTCAGGCGCGAAGCCAGTAGGTCCTGGGTTCGGATCCCGCGGGATCGTGGATGCGCACTGCTGGGGAGTCCCATACTAGGACGAAACAGCCGTCCAGTGCTTCCAGGTTTCCAACGGTGGTCTAACATCAATTAATTCATGATCTCAATCAATATGTCTTGTTTTACATTAGTCTTGTATTTCCGTAAAATAACTGATCATTTTATGTAGGTGCTCATGCATTTCAGTTACAAGCAAAGATGGATGGTGGTCAGCAGTGCAATCCGTGATGCTCGTTTCTCCCTATTTGGGACTCGTCAACTGGATATACCTGCATCCCAGAGTTGATGTTCACAACCCCATACTGATAAAATATTTCAGTTACGTTTTTTAATTGAGCATAGATCAGACGATTCTTCTATTTATCCTGTCTGCCACCTCACATTTAAAAATAAATGATATTATTTGGTTGTTTGATGAGTACAGGTAGTTGAAGTTATTTGATAACTATATCTTCGTAAGTCAACATTATCTGAATGTGTATTCCTAGTTCAGTTGTTGTAATTCAATAACTGAAATATTCTTACCTATTACTATCGAACTCATCCGTTAAAATTCCTTTTCTCACTTGTTATTTTATTAATTCAAAGTGTCTAAAACTCACTTCAGACAAATTACGTAACATCTACTATTTTTCCTTCACTTAGTTCTCCATTTCTTTACGTTTTCTTACTCCATGTTAATTTGTCATTTAGGTACCATTAATCTACAGTTCGCTGACGGATCACATTATACTTGGACAAAAGTAACAACAGTTGTTCATAATTTAATTGTTGGTACGATATGGATTGATAATTATGGTGATGTAACCATAGAAAATCATAAAACTGGTTATTCATGTAGCCTGCAGTTTATCGCTCATTCTTATTTTAATAGAGGACAGTCAAGACGAGTATGTCATCTTATTTGGTCTATATATATATATATATATATATATATATATATATATATATATATATTCTCGTCATCCCTCTTGTTTACAAGAAAGGTCTATGCTAAAACCCTATCCAGAGCATCCTAGAGTTCACTCTCACTATATAGCACTTTTCATTTGTCCTATCCTTTATTCATGATAAGGTGAAGTCTTTATTCTGTAAAGACGTTATTGTGTAATCGTGTAAAAGTCGGATACAAACACAAGTATTTTATCAACAAAAATTGTGATGTTACTAAATATGCCATATATTTTGTAAAAAAAAACTGTCGTTACCTGTTTAATATTTTCATAATGGAGATTTGTGGAGATTGTAGTAATTTTAATTTTGAATTCACGAGTCGATCTAAGCTAGACCACCAATGAAAATCTGGAACCACTGGACGAGTGTTTCGTTCTAGTATGATCCTCCTCAGTAGTGCGCAGCCACGATCCCATACACGGGATTTGAACCAAGGACCTTCGGTCTCGTGCGTAATCGCTTAATCTCTATACCATTGAGCCAGCATCCGACGCTGTTATTATCTAACTTTAATCTATTCATGATGTTGCACAACCTTTCACCCATTGTTAGTTTTTATTCTCTTAAGTTCTATACTCTTAAAATTATTCCATATTGGATAACAAATATTTTTCGGCAAGAAAACTTTATCCCATCACAATTATTAAACATAATCATAGTCTACCAAAAAATATATAAAAGAGTTTAGATTTTTTTCCACTGAAATGTATAACCTCAAAGCTTAAGCTAAATGATACTTAAAATATATAATTCACAAAGTGTTAGTGTAAAATTGTAATCATCAATAAACTTTTCTTTTAGAACATACCCGACCGTTGTTGCTACTTTGACGTGGTGGTCGGGCTTGCCTATCGTAATGAAGCAACCGAGCTATACTGGCTGGAACAACCGTCCCTCAAGGTCCTACCGTGTCAGACAGGTCGGTTGAAGAGCGGTAAGACTAAAAGCAACAAACCCAAGGTCCGAAGGCGAAGTCGTACTGCTGACTGTACAGAGGTGTGACAGCAGTAAGGTGTTTCCTTCAGACAACCAGCATGACAGCGATGCTGCTTTCCCACAAGGAGGGGTGGGGTTAGAAAAGGTCGACCCTAAAAATGCACACTTCGCCTTATCCCACGGATATCCGTCTCCGGTGGTAAGGTCTCAACAAATACGGAGCTAACACGAAAATTACCCATAAAAAGGTCGTGTGTAACCGACTTCGTCAGTTGTAACACGGGCACTGTGATCACGCTCCCAGGTCACTAAGACCACCTCTAATCCAATTTCCTTTTCGGGTACCTCCAGACTGACTGACTGACTGACTTTTAGAACATAATATTGTTTACTGAATCTAATCATTTGATCTTGATTTACTGTAACCAAATATTCATGAGCGTTTTTTGTTATTTACAGCTGTAAACCTACAAAATCAGCGTATCTGCTTACTATTCATTTGTTTGGTTAAACAAAGACAAATTTTTTAGATCAATAAGATTGGGGGTTTTTTGTACAATAATTTTAATATTGGATAGTGCTAAAGATTTCTTAGTTCTTTTTAAATTGAATCTTCCTGATTTTCTTTTCATTAAAAAAAACTATTAGGTCACAGGTTTTGTAAAAAATTCAACTGGTGTACCAGTTGCTGTAATTCAAGGAACGTGGGATAATTATTTAGAATATCAACGTTTATCAATCGATAAAATACCTGTCGGTGAGCCAATATTAATATGGAAAACTGATCCATTACCTTCTAATGCTTCTGATGTAAGTTTATACTATGATTACTGAGTCATATAATTCTGGATATATAATAATAATGATGCTGGATAGTATGAATTTGTAATTATTATAAAGTAATAAGATAATAGAAAGGGTAGGTTATTAAGTTTTGATAGATAATAAAAGTTTTGCTTTGTTCTTACGAATAATTTGCTTAATTTTTCTGTAAATCTACACATTAAATAAGAAAGATTAGTTCAGCGAAGAGTTCTCTTTTCGGCGAATTCATTTTCAAAGCTGTACAATCACAAATATATATACTTATCTACTTACTTATCTACACATTCACTGAATACTTTTATATGACAAAAAATAATAGATTGAACCGAAAGGTAATAAATATGCATCAAAATTCATTAAGTGTATTGGTTGACTTTGTTATTGTACATGTATTGAAAGAAAGAAAAATACTACACGATTACTTCCAAAATTGTTATACATTTAATTATTTTAATCTCTGAAAAATTCCCATTATATTAAAACACAATGATATGAACGAAGAAGAACGAAGAATTATTTATTATGACAACCACATGATTCTATTAAGTAAAAAAATTCAAATCATAGAGTTTCGAGTTTAAATGTGCTAACGATTAATCCGTTAGGTCGCCGAAGTCACTTGTATTCATTCAAATACTTCCTTATTCTCTAGTATAATGTCTTACTAAATTTTGCATTAAAGGGTGGACACGACTAACAGATGATGTTTTCGCTTGTTCACTTTGAAGGTTTTTAGTGTATGAGGAGACCGGCTTGAAAGCTATTTGAGGATTATAGTGGCACGGAACACACATCTAGTTTATCGCACGAATAGTAACTGTTTTAAGCATCAGTTAAAGGTAAAAACTAGTTAAATTGAAACCAAATTATTGTGATTTTTTGTCAGAGAAAGTGAAACGTATGTGAAGGACAATGATGACAACTAATGATAATAATAATAATCTGCTGTTATTTCTTTCTCGAAGTTATAATTAATCAAAATGTTAGTCAACCTTTTTTGGATTGTTATAAGTTTGTTTTCTTCTAGAAAAATTGGCTACTGTAGTCTACATAGTTTGGCAAGTATCACTTGAACATCATATTGACCTAATGAGATTTCACCACTAAAGATTTCAACCATTCTTTTATCTTCTTGATTATCACATTTTCTAATCATCTCATTTTTTAAATGAATATTAATGTGAACTGTATTCTGGATTGTTTGAATTTCCTAACGAATATGTTTCAAGCTTGAAGATGCCATATTGTCATTTATATTAAACGTTAATAGGATAAAGAGAATTACTCAACTAAGGTGATCAAGAAATTGTTAATTCTTTTCAACTGCTTTGTCGGCGTCACTATTAATTAAGAAGCTAATGTGCTAACTCTGGAAGGTGTGCGTTGTATAATTAATCGATCTAATATTGTGTTTTATTTGCTAAATATGAATAGAAGAAACGAAGCAATCAATGTTGCACTAATATCAAATTTGTTGTTGAAAGTTGTTTTCCTCTCTAACGGAAATTAAGAACCTGTTAATATCATATTCAAATAACTTGAAAACGTTTTCATTGAAATAATTTCTTTTCCTACTCTAGATGTATCACTTTTCTCGATTTGCTATTGAATTAAATGAAATGGAAGATGGTGTTGCACCGACTGACTCAAGACATAGACCTGATCAACGTCTTATGGAACAAGGATTATGGGATCAAGCAAATGAAGAAAAAAGGCGCCTTGAAGCGAAACAAAGAAATAAACGACATGCATGGGAGAAAGCAGTTAGAGAAGGTATTATTCTGATGTTGTTTTAAGGCAGAATTGTATCATTTATTATTTGCTACATCATTTACCAAACCAAACTTGATCGTCAAGTCACGAATTCTAACTTTTCGACGTCTGGGACTAATGAAACAAGGATAGGTACTTACATGTTTAAACCATCAGGTAACAACATATAACATATGAAAAATATCACAATAAGATAATTTAGCAACATGTCAACTGATTTCTAAATGGTATAAAATACAATATTGATGGTAAACTGTTTAATTTATAAGGATACACTTCATTGTTGTAAATTGGCTTTTTATCAACAGTCTCTTTAGCACATGTTTAATCCTATATTACAATGGAATTTTCACATTTACATGTTTTATTCCATTTTCTAGTCTTCTATCAGTTAACAGTTAAATGAATTAGCTATCTATCAATAGTATTTTGTTCAAAGAACATGTTTATGACGGATCAGTTATTTAGTTTACTTTACCGCACAGTTTTCTGATCACTAATGCAGTAATATACTTAAAAGGCAATCTTATGTTTTTACTTCATAACTTATAAACTGATTCTATTTCACTAGTTGCCTGATTTTTAGATCTCACACATATCAAATGAGATTTGTGTGGCGCATATGTATTTGGTGCCTCCTTGTACCAATATCTATGTGTTAAAAATGAATAAATAAATTTTTAGATATCACTAAGCGTTAGTATTTGAACTTTTAGTAACACTGCCTATTAATTGTCTTATAGGTCCGGAAAGATTTACTTCTTTGAAGATTCATCTATAGTGGGAAAAGTAGAAAATCTTTCCATATTTGTTGTTCGGGCATGAAATTATATTGTTTAGGAATTAGGATAGTGTGGATTTAATTTGACTGACTGGCCTTTGATTGAGGAAAAATTATTTATTCGGTTTTTGTATAAAGATAATCGAATTTCAGGAATATAGGTATTCAACTATTTTATCTGTCATGGAGTCACTTTAGTGTATGGTGTGATATTTGTTTTTATATATATATATATATATATATATATATATATATATATATATATATATATATATATATATATATATATATGCCATTTTTCTTCAGGTCAAACAGATGAACCATTATTCACACCGGTTTGGTTTTCACCAAAACATGATGTCAATGGTAATGTATATCATGAATATTTAGGAAACTATTGGAAATCAAAAGAACAACAAGATTGGTTAAAATGTCCAGATATTTATTGAAAAGTTTTTTTAGATCTTATTTTCAATTATTCTTGTAGAAAGTGTAAGAGATTATTTCAGTACAAAAAATTGTTTCTGTGCGTCAATAAAAACTGTTTTACTGTCTTTCCTGTTCACCTTGATAGTTAGTGTTGGTGAATCGTATTACATTTTTTTAGAACATTTTTGTTTGTTTATAGTTTATGTCTTATAGAAGAAAAGATAATTCTGATCTGTAATTTATAATTCTTGTTATTGATATTTATAAAATAGTCCTAATTCACATTAACTTCATTCTCTGTTTCTGTTCCGTTTTGACGTTTTCATTCACGACTTATTTCCCTACTAATCCCCCACTTTGTTCTGTTTTGTCGGACTACTGTCATCTCTTCATTTCTTTATCTATCTGTCTGTATAACTGATCGAATTCTCTACGTTGGGCTTTCACTAACTTCCCTAACCATTAGCCTATTTTCGTGTTTCTTTATGAACTACTGATTTATTGTAATAAGTACATTGTGTATAAGTGCATTGTCGTGTACTTTATTGTAAATAAATGCGTATGTGGCTTTGATGATTCCATTTTTTGAACCTCCGCACCTACTCGACTTTTATTATAGTAATATTATTTTTAACTATAATCAGAATATCGACTTCATTAACATTTATAAAAAATTTTGCTAAGAAGTTGCTATATGGGACTTCGTCGAAAGTCTTAAAGCCTGATGATGATGATAATCTTTAGCATGAACCATTGATGACGTCATAATTATCACATTTTATTTTCACATGACTTTTGTTATAAAAGATAATGTCAATAAGTGTCAACCACTGTTTATTTTACTTAACTCCATTAGGGAGAATAAATTGTTCACTGTGATGATGATGACTATGGTTGTTTACTTGTTCTTGTTTAATTTTGCTAATTTCTAAATATATATACTCTTCTTTATGTCATTTTCGCCACTTAGATGACCAAGATGGTTTGGGTGTTGTTCTTCTTTTATTTTGTTAAGTGATTTTTTAATCTTTCTCTTCATATTTATTATTTTACATTTCAGTGCTGTTTTCATCCTTTTTCTGCCTTATTTTTATTGCACCAATTGTGTTATTGTGTATTCGTTTCATATGATCAATTGTTAACTTCACTGATTACCAACATACTGTTTTGATGATTTGTGCAAATATATATATATATATATTAAATCTTATCAAGTCAATATCTTTACTGTTTCTTGAAATTCTGTACAATAAAAAGTTGACAAAGGAAAATAGGAGACATTTACAAAAGTTTGTTTCTGAATGTAGGTATATAGATAATTTAGTTTGTTGATTTAATGCTGTTTAGATGCAGTTTGTATTTGTCATTTAGTTCACTTATGGATTATTTTCTCTCTTTTTTTACCAACACTAAATTGTTGATTCTTTCAATTAACTTTTACAACTAAATTTGCTCATTTACACGTGTAAAGATGTATTTTGAAAGTGAAAACTCCTTCACCTTTTTCTTTCTATAAAATATACTTATACACATATACTACTTAATTTTCTGTTATATTTTGCTGTATGAACAACCAGTTCTGTTTATGAATTTCTGTATTACTTATTCTACTGACTTTGTTTGGATTATATTGTGCATAATTTACATCTTTTATCAATATTTTTTCTGCTTATTTCTTCGGTTGTTTTTTCCCTTTAGTTTGTTTTTATTTTAACAGCCTGATTGCCAAGATTGAATTCAATTTATATTGTTTTTTTTCTATAAAGAAAATCGTTTTTTTATTCTGATAAAAAGAATCAGAATTATTTGAATACGATTTTATATTTTCTGTACTAACTACCAGTTACGAATAGATAGGTAGGTGTACAGAAGTATGATTTACTAGGTACAACATATTAACTGCAACCACAAAATGATGAATATCAGATATGTAGCGCATCCATGTGTTTGTCAAATCCATATTCAAAATGTTTAGAGCAAACATGGATGTTTACATAGTTTATTACAAATTGAGTTTAACAATTTAGCTAAACATTTCGCTAGGTCATGGAATTCGTTATATATCCAAAATCTCTGACTACCTAGCCGCTTCTCACATTCATAGAGTTTCTTAAACTCAATTAATTATAAAACTTTGGAAATGTAATTTGCAATCGGAAAATACAAGAGACCGTATACATTCAATGTTTTTATCATCAAAGGAGATCGAATGTTCTTACGTTTTTCCGTTACTTTTGTGATGTTTACCACCCTCACTGAAGAATTTGATCTGTTTGATAGGACTGTTCTCTCTAATTCGATACCTCTATGAACAACTCTCAACATTTCTCTAATGCTGTCATTTTCATCGAAGTACCTCCAGAAATAAATTGTTCGCAACTGTCAATCTCAAATTAGAAAAATTATTCACAATTCCTTTTTGTTTTATCTTTCATATTTATATGGGGTGAGTAAAACTATAATCCATTATGGTTTGATCATTAAATTTAACGTAAGTTCGTGATGTCGAATGCTTCACTGAAACAGTAAAGACACCAAATATAAAAAGTAATTAATAAAAAATATGGGAAAAGCAGTTAGTGGAGTGAATGTAAACATTGTAGTTCATTTGAATTTGTGGGTCAGGATAAGTAAAAACTCATTCAATCTGTAATGAGTTGTCATAAATTCATCATGTTTGGTACTATTTCATGAAGGATTGATTACTCGCCGTCAGTGAATGCAGACTTATCTGATTAATGAGTTCTTAACAAGTTGAAACCTAATTCTTCAATTCAATCACTACTTATTTGCAGTAAGATATTTTTCAAGCTATCCTTCATATCTCACTATAACCTGGAATCTTGATATCTATCCTTTTTGTGAATGAAACACAAATCATTTGTTTTTCAAAATAACGCGCTAAAATTATCAGCTTGTTGGTGTAATGAGATCTATCTGCTGCTTTAAAAAAAACGGTTCAGCGATTATTGAATGAAATAAAGTGAGCATATGTTTACTCTACAAGATCCAAATGTCATATCTGGTTGAACGTGGTGAACTTTAGTGATGTTACTTAATGAAGAAATATCCATTTATTTTAGCAAAAAATAATATGTTCAGTTCGAACTCGAGACATTGTTTAATTTGTGTATTTCAGAAATAACCATAACGCTCCTGAATACATATTTTTAATTGCACATGAGCTTCAGTATCCTGAGGGAACAAATGGCGTATGAACCAATCTTTGGTCACTGGCAACCATGGGACTGCCTTGTGGGTCAGTCCTTGTAGGTCGAAAGCTCCGGGTGTGGCCCCCTAAGAAAACCATGTGCTTCGATCTGGGCACCCGAGCAATATCATAGCCCTCACACAAATCTCATTTGATTTGTGTGACGCCCATGTATTGGTGCCTCCTTGTACCAACACCTATGTGTTCAAGTGAATAATAATAAATAAATCGGAAAATGCTGTTGTTTTTTTTCCAATTATCATTCTGAAAGTAATTTAATAAATTTTATATAACTAGAAGTTATAATGAAGTAAAGAATGTTATGCAATAAAATGTTTGATACTTCATAGTACATATTTCACATATTTTTTGTACCTAATTAAATCTTTGAATAAATAATATAAAAAATTAGGTAATAAATAATTAATGGCGTCCTTTATTATTATTATTATTATTATTATTATTATTATTATTATCGATTTTACCTTAATATAATGAACTAATTCTAGTATTGTCGAGTTGTAAAGCAAAGATCTGGTTTCATTAAAAATGATAAGATCAAAACAATTTTAACATTTATTTCATAACAAATTAATTGTATACATCCACTAGATGTCATACAGATAAATATTCTAAATGATAATAGAATATAAATAAAAGAAAATTCAATGAAATCATTTGCGAAAATAAGATTGAAATGAAAAATGTTATGAATAATCTAATCAGAAACATAACTTGGAATATTTAGATTTCATTCATGATAAGTTTCAATTTTTCCAGACTTTAATTAAAACATATATACTATCAGAAGGGATTTGTGGAGATTTTAGAGATTTCACATTGAAATCATGAGTCAATTGAAGCTAGACCAATATGGAAAATCTGGAATCACTGGACGGCCGTTTCATTCTAGTATGGGACTCCTCAGCGGTGCGCATCCATGATCCCTCACCCCGCGAGATTCGAACCCAGGACCTATCAGTCTCGCGCTAAGCGCTTAACCAACTAGACCACTGAGCCGGCATTCAATGCTGTTAATGTCTAACTTCAACCAATCCACGAAGTTGCGCCACCGTATACCATTGTCTTCAGTGAGCTGATATCTCACAACAGACCTGGTTCAACTCCACTGGTAACGGCTTCTCACTAGAACTCTAGAAGTATCTCTTGAATTCAGTCACTAGTGAGTAGATGACTATTATCAGACGGGGTTTGTGGAGATTTTAGAAATTTCACATTGAAATCATGAGTCAATTGAAGCTAGACCAATATGGAAAATCTGGAATCACTGGACGGCCGTTTCATCCTAGTATGGGACTCCCCAGCAGTGCGCATCCATGATCCCTCACCCCGCGAGATTCGAACCCAGGATCTATCAGTCTCGCGCCAAGCGCTTAACCAACTAGACCACTGTATATGTTTTTTTTCCGGCTGACATTCACTCTGTATGTATTTTAAAACAAAACACATCTACTTATATTTTCCTGTAGAAAATAATCGTCATTTCATTAATTTTGATAAAACAATACAAATAAATAAAAGTCAATGTATGTTTATATTTATTTACATGTGTAAAGCGTCGTTTTGAAAAAAATTGTTTGTTTATACATTTTTATTGAATTGTTCAGTTGATTGAATCTTAATCTTTTGGAATATAATTTATGATTTAAAGATTTATTCATTTGAATTAGACAACTATTCATTTATGTACATGGTGTTCAACGATTCCGCATGATCCTGATGTGTATTTTTCTTTATGTTTCGTGGAAATCAACGGCATAAAAAAAGGTGATAGACAGAAAGTCTTTCTTAGAAGGAACAAGGAAATTATTGTTAATGGTATTGAATTAGTCACATAAGGAATGTAAATGTAAAAGGAAAAGTAGCATGTAAACTCAACTAGATGTCTACAGAATGAATTCATACATTTAGCAATAATTCAAGAAAGGAATCAATCATCGTAATAATAATGCTATCAATCAACTGCATTCACTCTAAATCTGGTGTTCCATATCCAAGTCGAGCTAGTGCGATATTTAATCGATGCCGTTGAATTGTACGGAATTGTTGTTCTTGTATCTCAACTTCCTTTGTGATGGCTTCTTTACCATTATTGTGATAATTCTTACAATTCTTTAAATTGATGAAGTGATTATCATTCTTTCTATTAATACTAATCATCGGACTAGAATCTAGACCACGTTTTATTATACTTAAGTATTGAAATAGATTGACAATTGCAACTAGTCTATCTCTTGCTGGTAATGATATTTTACAATCGATTTCATTGGAATCAGGTGTCTAATGTAGGAAATAGAAAAAAAAACGTAAAATGTCATATATCAGCTTTTTAAAGGTAAACAGTAAGTTATCCGTAAATTATTATTGTTATCATTATTATTACTGTTGCATAACCAACATACTATAAAAAGGATTTCTAAAATAAGCATTCGAAAGGATAGATTCAAGAGAGATGCTGTTGTACTCTGGTCGTGAGGAAGAAAATGCTCTACACACTCAGGGAGTTGCTGTGATGCTGTCCAAAGAATCAAGTAAGGCACTTGTAAGATGAGACGCATTCCGAAAAAGGACGAGAGTCAGACAAGACTGCTTACTCTCCCACTTTCTCTTTCTTCTGGTGCTCGACTTGATTATGAAGACCTTGACATCTGAGGGGAAGCACGGAATACAATGGACAGGTTGGATGCAACTAGATGATTTGGACTTTGCAGATGACCTAGTTCTTCTACCCCATACACACCGACAAATATATATATATAATTGACTGGGCATCTGAGTGTTTCAGTAGAGTCGCCGTCGAATAAAATGGGGTTTCCAGATTTGAGATATTTCTTTTTAATTACTGACATAGAATGTGTGACCTAGATCATGTGTCTTCAACCAAACATCCAATAACATATGTAATGATGTTTCAAATTATGAAAAATGACACTACTAATACTTATCTTTGATGAATCTCTAAATCAATCAGGTCGGTAGATTACTGAGAAAATAATTTCTTAACAATTTAACTTACTCTGATTTTCATACGAAACACAGCTTCATATTTTGGCATTAATGAGCAGTATTCATGAACAACTTTTATTGTTTTATCACCACCATTTATGTCGTTATTTCGGCGTAAACCACCGCCTAATTCCGGTGTAATTGGTGTAATTTCTAAACCTAATTCCGGTAATGCTTGATAAATTGAAGAGATAAGTTTTTTATCAATAAATTCAAAACATGGTTTTATATCTTGCAAATATAAACGGTATATAAATCTTGATAATGGTTTATCCAATGGAAAATAATTTGAATTGAATGATGATTTTGTTTTAACACAGTTTATGATTATTGGTGAAAAATATTTATCATCAGTTTTAATTTGTGAATCATTATGATTGTTTATTGAATCATTTGAAATTTCTTTAATAGTGTCATGATTATTTGATTCAGTTGAATTTTTCAATAGAATATCAGTTGTTTTGATTATATGAATAGAATGATTAGACTCTTGACTTTTAGCATTATTATCATAGTTATTATTACTATTTGGAATGTTTTCCATATTATTCACAGAGTTGTGTACATCAAAACTATTG